CCCCCCCCCCCCCCTTTTTTTTTTTTTTGGTTTTTCAGGAAGAGTAATGCTGAATTACTCAATGGCTTTCTAATGAATAAACCAAACCAAATTGATGTAACGTGCATATTTAAACCCATTCAGTGAAGTACTGACGTGAAGAAAAGAATCAAATTTATGCCTGAAAAAAAAAAGAAAAAAAAAAAGCAGCAAAGTTCTGCACCCCCTTATTTCACTGACTTTTCAAATCTAAATTGCAGAAGTGCCTGATGGCGTTATGAAGCTAAACTGACAAATCAGAGGGAAAAAAAGTTGCTTGCCCAGCCCATGGTGGTTAGTGCACCTGTCATCACGGGCGAGAGGGGTGCGTGGGGCCTCGGGTGCCTTTAAAGTGCAGGTTTGCTTTTTGCACTGCCTCCTTCTTGCAGTCAAAGTGATTAACAGGCTTGCGAAAATTTTAGGCAGCTTGGAGGGGGGGAGGAAAAAAAAAAAAAAAACCCACAATACAAATACAGGGAGAGGAGTAGTACTCTCTGGTACCTGCTGCACGAGGTCCCCGCGAGCAAATAAAAGCGCGGATAAAGGTGTTTGTTTGAATTACACGAAAGGAGAGCCTGTAGTTTTCAAAGGATTTGTGTGATGAGCAGCAGAGAGCGTTCATCTAGGTGAGAATCCCAGCTAGGTGAGGCTAAAACTGCTTTAATACAACTGCTGCCAAGCGCCGGTGCGTTTTTCCCGGCGGATCCCGGAGCCTCCCGGATGCCGCCGTCCCGAGGAGATGCTCGGGTGCCGGCCCAGGAGCCCACCGTTGCCTTCCCTCCCAGGGCTTACCTATTTTTTTCCTCTTCTGCTTTTTACCTAAATGCCTTGTTACTGCGCTCTCTGCTTCTCACAGTCTTTAATTTGGTTGTTGGGAACAAGAATTCAGAAATATTCCCGTTCAAGCTGCTCTTCAACGTTGCTCTGCCCCCACGTAAAATAGGCAGGATATAAGAGTTGAAGAAGAAATGATTAAGCTATCAGTGTCTTTTAAGTGGTGGTTGGTTGAGGTGCTTAGACAATTACACATTTTGAGTTACAGAACGATTTGAGTTCCTGTGATTTCTGAACACCTGATACGTTATCGCCTCTCTCACATCCCCTCCAGCTCCGCGGCGCTTGCAGAAATCCGTCCTCAGTCTCGCGGTGGCTCTTGGACTCGAGGTTTTGTCAGAATTAACGCTATTTCCAGCATGAAAAAAAAAAAAGACTCCTCAGCTGTGGCAGAGGGGAGGGAGCGGGGGGGATGCAACCAGAAAACCAAATGTATTCCTTGCTGCTTTTTAAACCCTGCTGGTGCTTGGAGCGGGCCGGCACGGCACGGTTGGGCGCCCGAGCCCGTTGAGCCGGGGCTGTGGGAAGTTCGGCAGGATAAACGTGGCTCAGCCGTCCCCCCCCCCATTACGTCTGCACGTCCCTGTGTGCGGTTTGGGAACGGGGACAGCTGCGAGGCTCCGCGTGGTGGCAGCTGCCGGGATGCAAAACTGATTTTTTATTTTTTATTTTTTTTTTAATTTTTTTTTTTGCTCCTTCGAACACCTGGAAAAGGGACGGGGTAGCGCCAAAAACTGGAATAAGGTAACAAAAAGCTGATGGGCGAGCGATCCCGCTTCCCGGCGTAACAAAACACAGCCCTTGCCTGCCGGGGGTGGCCGGGAGCCCACGCACGGGCCCACCACCCCTCGCGGGGGGTGCAGGGGAGTTTCTGGGGTGCGGGGGCCGGGACCCCCTGGCTGCTCCTGGACAAGGTTCCTCACCACGTGTCATACCACTTTTTTTTTTTTCCCCCACTGTTTGAGAGCTCTAACGCGTAAATAAAGACCATCTCCAGGATAAAAACTTGCTGATCATTGTCTTTCTCAGGAGAAGAGCGACAAACGGTGGGGATGGTTTTTCGTTTGGCTTCCTCGGTTAGTGTTTGACCGAGTGTTCATCATTTCAGAAGTGAAATACGTGGAGTTTTCAGCGGTTCCTTAGAATACAAAGCTTCTAGGCTAATCTCCTTCAGGCAGAGTTTGGATGCAAGGTGACTAGTCCCAGTTCAGCCCCAGGTCCTGGTGGCCAGTAACAACCATCTGTTGGGATGATTTTTTTTTTTTTTCCCCCTTTTTTTTTTTTTTTTTTTTCTTTTCTGTCTCCTTTTTCTCTCCCCAGCCCGCCCTTTCTCACACCAGTGACACATGTTTTAGAGGAGGGGGTCGCTTCTGATCAGAAAGGGCTGAAGAAGGAGGTGGCCACTGCTCAGCATCTTTGTGACTACAGAGAATTCATATTCAGTACAGTCCTAGGAACTGTAGGATAATAGTCTGCTTCAGCGTCGTGAAGAAATAAATATCTCCCCCTCCCCGTTCCCGGGGAACAGCATCTCCCCTGGTTAACGAATCTGCGAACGCCGTGCCAGCACACATCTGTCTCGTGAAGAAGGGCTGTTGATTCTGCCAAAGCCAAGAGAGGGCACCTTGTAGGGGAAAATAAAATTACACATGTATAGACAGCTCTGTACTGATCACTTCTGGCAGAAGCCTGTTTCTGATAATCCCCCTCGCTGCCTGAGCCACACACACAGATCTGTGGAAGCCGGAATACGAAATAAGTTCTGCTGCTCCGATTGCATGCAGAGATCTGCCACAGTTTTGAGGTTGCAATTGTAGATCTTCAAAAGATCTCGACTGAGGTCTTTAATTTGGTATGCTATTAACTCATAGGATGGTAATTTGCTCTCAGTGTCTTGGTGTCTTATTTATAGCCTGAACTAGTTTTCATGGCAACTTTTACCGTGCTAGGGAGGGGGGGGATTAAAAAAAAAAACCACAACCAAACCAAGGGACGAAAGATCTAGTACATAAACTCACGCCATGTTAATCCATCCTTTTTGTGGCCTCTATTTGATCTGGGAGGAAATCACGGCATTTTTAGTTTCATGGGACAGAGCCCTCACTGCAGGGGGAATAGCCAGTGCCTGCCCCTGTACGGTGCTGGGGGGACGTGTGGTCCCTGCGAGCCCCAGCCTGGCTCCAGCACCATAACAGCCACAGCCCTTTTTTTTTTTTTTTTTGTTTACAAGCAGATTATAAATGCTTTCAAAGCACGACTGTTCTCTAATGAAAAATATTTTGGGGAAGTTCAGAAAGTTTACTGCGGAAAGAGCTGACCGTGACAACTGGGCTGCTGGCTCAGTCCTCGCGTTTCTGAATCGCCTTGAATGGGTGTTTAAATATTACCCACATGTAACATCTTGGTGTCCAGCCTGATGTCCTGGTCACCCGGTGTAGTTTTACTAAGGTATTGGGTACTTAGTCGAGCTGTCATGTGCAGAAAAAGGGCGCCTCTTTGTTGTTTTGTTTTTTTTTTTTTAATCTCCAGTAAGACGTAGACCAGATTCTCATAAGCACGTACACGCATGCAGTGGCTTCATTGGAAATATTCATGTGCTTAAATCTCTGCATACTAAAGCTCCCAGCTGGAGGAGATCCCAGGACTCTTACTTGCAAAAAAAAAAAAAGAATTGTAAACACAGACTTTCATGTGTGTGCTGGTGTGTTTGCAGTTCCGAGCACGCAGGTGGGAGGTTTGAAAATGTCCCTCTTCGGTGCTTCCTTCGAGACGGTTGGAAGGTTGAAGGGTTTGATTGAAGGATTTTGGTTGAAGGATTTTGGTTGAAGGATTTTGGTTGAAGGGTTTTGATTTCAGGATTTTGGTTGAAGGGTTTTGGTTGAAGGGTTTTGGTTGAAGGATTTTGGTTGAAGGGTTTGGTTGAAGGATTTTGGTTGAAGGGTTTGGTTGAAGGATTTTGGTTGAAGGATTTTGATTTCAGGATTTTGGTTGAAGGGTTTTGATTTCAGGATTTTGGTTGCAGGATTTTGGTTGAAGGGTTCGATTCCCTTCCCGTTGGCCATTAACCCTTTGGGAAGTGCCGGCGATGGCCTATGCCGATGCCTGCTGTGGTTAATAAAAGCCCTCAAAGGCAGCGGGCGTTACAGGGGCTACCTGTGCTGGTGGGAATTTGGCTTCTGAACGCCCGGGGCAGGGGGTTTAACCCTTTAACTCCACCTCAGCAGGCAGGGGCTCAGTCCTGCGGGTTGCCCTCCTTGGGGCACAATCCTGAAACAGCCCTGCCCCTCCGCGTGCAGAGACTCTTACCAAGAGCTGGGGGACTTTTGAGCCCTGCCCTGTAACGGGAGGCACCTCCTTGCCTTTTCCCAGACACCCGAGGCCTGCTAGTGGTAACGTAAAGATTGTTTTTTACAGATGAGCCATGAGAGAAATCCTTGAGTTATTCTTACACTCTCGTT